TGGTCTTAAGCTTCTGATGCGTTCCTCGGGCAAGCAATTGGTCCAACGGGCCCTGGTTCTGCCGTCAAAGCTGCCCCAGGTCTCCAGGCCCACGACTCGGCCCACAGCTGGCTCGAAGTCGCAAGTAGCTAAAGCTCAGCGAAGGGTCAAACAGGCTACCTTCGCGGAGCGGCGTGATGAATATTACAGCAAGCTTTTTTCGGACGCTTGGTCACGAGAGGATCGTGAGCGGCAGGCGGCGAGAGAAGTTATCGCGCCTCACGACTTGGATGCACTGTCTGACGCGCCCTCGGAAGAGGACCCGTGGGCGCACGAGCTCAACTTTATTGACGATCGTCATTCGACGTCGCTAGGAGGTCAAGTACCCTCGGCTCCGTTTGGAGAAGAAGAGGAAAGATCTTCTGGCGAGGCAGATCAGGGCCGACCTGGCCAGCACGGCGTGCCCATCATGGGCGGGCGATTTCATTTGCCGCATTATGCTCAGTCAATCGCTTGGGGCAATGTTGGTGAAGATCGCACATCGTCGTCTCAGAGCCTTACAGGTCACCCTTCCGACGTTCGTGTTGAGCCGCCCCCCTCAGGTACAGATGAAGGAGCCGAACCTAGTGTGCCGTTTTGCATTGCCGACGAGACGTGGGTGAATGCTCGCGCTCAAGTCGGACTGCAGTCGCCCCCGCTCCCTGCTCCTGCCTTTGCTTCGTCAGTAGCTGCTAGGCTCGGATCCGAGTTTGTGAGCCCAGTTTCAGCCCTTTACGGTTCATGGGTGAAGGCAGTGGAGACGACGGTGTGCGATCATCACGGCATTACTCAATTGCCAGGTATTTCTCGTTCGCAAGGATATTCGTTTGTTGTCCAGGAGGTTCGAGCCCCCATCAAAGCAAGAGTTTCCCCCTACAGCAATATTGTTGCAACCTGGTGGGAGCAGTTGGCGGTGGTCTTGGAACGGATCCAGGGACACAGGTCTAGAGGGAACGGGGTTGTACAGAGAGAGCAGTTGAGATTTTCGATTCGTCATCTGTTAGAAGAGGCCCCAGACAGGGCCCACACGGGCATTCGTGTTGGGTCCGAGCCATCTTGGGAAGCTTGGTCTCAGCTGCTGCAAAGAGGAGCCACAGTGTCAGCCGCCATTCTTCAGAAGTTTGTAGCTGCGGCACAGAAGATAGCTCTTCGCACCAGGCGGAGAGCTCTCCGCTCTTCGCTGGATAGTTTCAAGGATTGGTTTATGACCAAAGAGGCTGAGGGGCCATTGCATCGATCTATGAGGGCTGACCCTGCGGTGTCTGATGAGTTGATCTCGGAAACTTCGGTTTACTGCAATCCCCTCGATATGGTGGATCAGAAAGCTCAGCCATTTATCAAGTTGTGGGCCCCTCATCCTCTGCAGGAGGAATCAGTTTGTCAGGCTTTTGCCGATGTGCGCGCTGCTGCAGTCCTTGAGCCGTTGGAACCGCTGGACATAGCAGGTATTCGTGCAGCGGCGCATGCCATGAAGCCTCGAGCAGGTTTGGGAGTAGACGTGCTCACACCGCTGGATTTCGAGCGTTTACCTGATTTGGCTCTGGACGAGCTTCGGGCCTTGTACGCTGTTGTGGAAGAAACCCTGGTTTGGCCTTCCCAGGTTTCCCTTGCTCTTGGCCGTCTTTTGCCAAAAAATCGAAGGGGGATCGTGTAATCGGTGTCTTGAGCATGTTCACTCGTGTTTGGTCTAAGGCCAGGGAGCCAATAGTCCAGGCATGGAGTCAGGCCAACGAGCCTGCCTGGGACGCTGCCGTCAAAGGCAACGGGGCCCTGTTGGAAGCTTTTTCTCGTGTATTAGAAGATGAAATCACTGGGGCCCTGGGAGTTCCGTCGGGGAAAGGTTTACTCGACGTGGAAGGATATTATGACTCTATTGAGTGGGTGGTGCTTATCAGGACGGCATTGCGTCTAGGCTTTCCTCCAACCATTCTTGACTTAGAGTTATTGCTCTGCGTGTGCCCGCGCACTTTGGGCCAGAGTGGATCTTACGCCGAACCCTTTTGCCCGACTCGTTCCATTATCCAGGGACTGCGTTCTGGTACTAGGTTTGCGCGTTGTATGGTGTTTTTTTTATCCTGCTTCGCATTACTACGACCCATGTAAACATGACTACCCGAATATGGATTGATGATTTGTCTCAGAGAGTGGTGGGATCCAGGGCCAGCATTCGGCGTGATTTGTATCGTGGATTGTTGGAAACCTGTCGTGGTCTCGCTGAAGTACAGCTGCGTGTTTCACCCAAGTCCGTTATTGTATGTTCGCATATCCCTGATGCGAAGGCCATTGCCAAACGGTTGACCAGAGCGGGTTATTCAGTTACAGCAGTGGCTCAGGCCGGATATTTAGGTACTGACTTGGGAGGAGGAAGGAGGCATGCTCGAGGCAATAGGTCCAAGCGAGTAGTCAAGGGTGTTGCTATGCATTCTCGTGTTCTTCGGTTTGCTCGTGCGACCCGCAAGTACGCTGTCACTGCCAAGCTCGAGAGAGCAGGCACCTTTGCTGCGCAGCTGCATGCCCATCAGATACATGGAGTTTTTGGATCGTCCATGATTCGTTGCCGTCGCCAAATGGGGGCTAAATGTGGGTCTGGAAAGAAAGGTCGCTGTCTAACCACTTTGCTGGACCTTAGGAGTCCTCAAGGTGACCCTGCTGTCTATTTTCCTTGGTTATGTTGTGAGTTTTGGATGCGGCAATGGATCTTGCGACCCGCCATTCGCGCTGGAGTTAGGCGTGCCTGGCCATATATGCTGCAGACGTTTCGGCGAGTTTTGCCGCAGCATCGTTCTAGACACGTGCGAGGGCCTATGGGGGCCGTTACGTATGCTGTATTTATTGGAAGCCGGATGGGACCCTGTTGCACCAGATCATTGGATTGCCCCGCCAGATTTTCCTGGAGATTTGGAGGCCTGGAAGTTTCCTGAGGAAGGGCTGTCGGGGAACCTGATTCTAGATTCTCCAGAGCCAGTTATTCGGGACATCACGGCGTCAATTCAGGCTAAGTTGTGGCGAGGCGCAGCTGAACATTGGTGCGGGGACGGGGTCCAGGATGGTGTTGATAACATGTCTTATCGTCGGCTCGTTTCGCAACTTAAGTTGGTTTCGCAAGGGGAGAGGTTGAGCGAGCTTATGGTCGCGATTGCTGTTGGGGGCAATCTGGCCTAGGGCACGCATTAAGGCAGAGCTTGATGCGAATTTCGACGACCTCTGCCCCCGTTGCTCTAAGGAGCCAGAGACGGCTTTCCACCGTGCTTGGGGGTGTGAAGATAATGTCGGTGCTCTGGCGTATGAACAATCTCAAGAGTTGGTCGGAGAGGCCTATACTCAAGCTGATGCGTTACCTGCTTTTTGGCTTCGCGGCCTTTTGCCAGCTGCTCTTGCAGTCCTGCCGCCGCCGCCTGACACGGAAGAATGGTGGATCACAGGTTGTAATGAAATTTCTGCTGGAGCTTTAGGCCGTGGTTTCCCTGGGGACCCGCTCCTGGTCTTTGGAGACGCATCTGGAGGGAAATTTTCTGGTGAAAGCAGGTTTAGGCGTGTTGGCTTGGCAGTCGTTGCCATTGAAAGTTGCTTTCCGCTCACTGTGTCAGCGTCGGCTTCAGGCAGGTTGCCTGGCCCGAGGCAATCAGTGCCCCGAGGTGAATTGCTAGCCTTTGAGCTGGCCCTTCGTGCGACAGTTGGACATATTTGTTATGTGACTGACAACGAGTCGGTGATCAAAGGTTTCTTTGGAGGCAAGACTGTGTCGCCCGAGGGCGCTGATGCTGATTTATGGTTACGTATTTCTGGACATCTTGAGGTGAGGAGGGGAGAGGTTTCCATGCTTTTCACCAACTCACATCTGTCAGCCACTGAGGTTGTGGCACGTGCGCTTCCGTCGGCTATCGTTGCAGGCAATGTCATTGCCGATCATATTGCCGACGAGGCGGCCGCCCGCGCGCAGATCCCTGTGGACCGTCGGCGGCAGGTTATTCTCGAGGAGAAGCGCGCCTGGCAGGTGAGGCACCGCCTGCTGAGGGCGTCCCTGGACGCCATGCAGGCCGAGGAGCGGGGAGGTGGAGGCAGGAGATCGGGCCCTTCTCGCCCTCCCCCTCGGCCTCCTGCTCCTGGTCTCGTCGCCGCGTTTTCCTCGGCCCACAGCCTCGATGACTCTCGTCAAAGGTGTTCCAGGTGCTTTGGATCGGCCTCTATGGCCACTCTTAAAGAGTGGCATGAGTCTTCGTGTTTCACTCCCACTCCCGTCAATGATAAGTTTCTTGCCCTTCCCCTGGGGGGGCGGCTCCACGTTGCGGGGGGGTGGGCTCATGAGACGCATTCTATGAGGCTCCAGAGGGCCCATAAAGTTTGGTTTTGTCAAGCTTGTGGTTTCTATGCCCATGTTTCTATGCGTGGGCTGTCGAAACCATGTTCCCATAAGCTTGACCCCCATCGTCGAGTTTATTTGAGTAGACTCGATGATGGGTTGTGGCCGAAAGCTCTCAGTCAAGCTGAGCAGCTCTCTCGTGCCCTTTAATTCTCGAACCACTACGTGGGATAGCCTGTTCCTGTTCCTGTTCCTCCTCCTCCTCCTACTACTCCTCCTCCTCCTCCTACTCATCTTCCCCCTCCTCCTCTCCCTCCCCCGCCTCATCCTCCTCCTCCTCCGCGATCTCCCTGGTCCCCTCCCCTTTCCCCTCCCCCTCCTCGTGATCCTGCTCCTCCGAATCCTTGTCCATCCTCCCACGCTTGGGGTATGTTGTATTCCACTGCATGCTCCTCCACATCCCTGATCGAGGCAACTCGCCACGGCATTGTCTCTGGATGAGCTGGTGGGGCTCCTGTTCCAGAATTCAGGGCAGGCCCAGCCGTGGCAACAAAGAAAACCAAACCGCGCGAACTAAGATCCAAATCTGACTTTCTGACCTCGAACCTACCGTGCGCTCCAAATCGCGCGCCTCACGACGTGCGAACTTACCGTGCGCGAACCTACCGCACGCGACGCGCGCCTCGCTGGCCTCCTGCTGGGCACTCGTCGGGCTGGGCGTGCGGTCGCCGTCGTCCTCGCTCGCGTGCGCCGGGGGGGGTGCTCCTGAGGAGGGGGCTGAGGGAGAGGAGGGGGGAGGATGAGGAGGAGGAAGTGGGGGAGGGAGGGTAAGGAGGAGAGGAGGAAGAGGAGCAGGGAGGAGGAGGAGGAAAAAGGAGGAGGAAAGCAGGAGAAAGAGGAGGGGGGGGAGAGGAGCAGGAGAAAAAGGAGAAGAAGGAGGAGGAGGAGGAGGAGGAGGAGGAGCAGGAGGAGGAGGAGAGGAGCAGGAGAAAGAGGAGGAGGAGGCGTGCGGCGTATCTTTTTCCTTTTGCGGCGGCCGGGCCGACCACTTGCGGAGGAGGACCGCTCCTCGGAAGGAAGCGGCTGAGCCGGCGGACGGTTTTCAAAAGGTTCCCGGAGGTTTTCGGGCCCCGGGATTGTCCGAAACGAGGCCCGAGTTGTGACTCAAAGGCCAGACATCCCCGCCGTCGTGGACAAAGATCTCGGCAGAAAGATTCGACACTCGCCCCAAAGCTGCCCGAACACGGCTCAGGATGAAGAGCCGGCCCCTGGGCCCCAAGGACCAGGACCCGTGGGGAGCCACGCTGTGGAAGAGGCACTGCGTCTGATGTCTGAGCAGGGGAGGAGGAGGAGGAGGAGGAGGAGGAGGAGGAGGAGGAGGAGGAGGAGGAGGAGGAGGAGGAGGAGGAGAGGGAGGGGGGGGAGGAGGAGGAGGAGAGGAGGAGGGAGGAGGAGGAGGAGGAGGAGGAGGAGGAGGACGGGGAGGAGGGGGAGGAGCATCGACCTGGAATCGCTTGTACGTCGCCGATGGCTCGGCGTCAGCCCCACCGATGAACGAACGAACGAGCGAACGACGGGCCGGCAGGCGGCCTGCGCCAGGGCGGCCGTGATCGCTCACCTTCTCAGCCTTCGGAACCCCTTTCATGGTGCTATCCGGACACATTGGTGAAACCATCCTCGTGCCTATCCTTGTGGAAGCTACGACAATGGACACCCTAACAGTCCTATCATTGAACTTAAAATGTGTTTAAATATAGGAACCACGTTCTAAGCATGTTTGAGGAATGTTTAACACATGTGTTAGGCATCTGGAAAGTATTTGGCAACATGCTTCATCACCATTGATCGTCCTCCACAAATCTGTCCTACCATGCCTTGTCAAGTGCTGTCGTACCCCATGCAACGTCGTCGGTTCCACCTTGTTGCCGCCGCGGCTTTCTGGTGCCTCCAGCGTAGTGCTGTTCCGCTTCTCCGCCGGATGGTCTCTCCAGGCCGTCTACATAATTATTTCCGTGCGTCGCCGTCTCATGTTTTGCGTTGTCCGCCGTGTCGTCGCCATCTCGGGTGGTTCGAATGGAGATGGGGGTTCCAGTTGAGAGCGCGTTGTGTCTGGCATGTCGGTGTATGGTTCGCAACTCGTGCAGCCCAACAACATGACACTTTGCGGTGTAGCTGTGCCATCCAGGGCGTCGTGCTTCTCAATGAGTTCCTCGGCCCTCCAGGTGCTCCTCAGCATAAAATCTAACCACAGCTCGATATCTTCTTGCGTTCGTCGCTTGGCTGTGTGTGGTGGTTTGACGGTTTCGGTCTCACATGCGTGGGAAACGTCGCAAGATGTGCGTGTATTGCTAGAGACGTCCTGACGTCTTGGTCGCTGGAGTCTTGTGACTGGTAGCAGCAGAGGTCGCATCTATCTTGATTGCTTGTCGTCAAGGCGGGTGCTGTGGGAGTCGACCCTGTGCGCTTCCGTAGTGTCCCGCCGATGATCATTCGCAACATTCGTCGTTGTGTTCGGCACAGCTGGTTTTTCAGAGGCTCCATTCGAATCCAGATTTCTGCGCCGTACATCATAATGGTTATGACGGTACCGCGGTAAAGCCGTAATCGAAGGCTGAGTTGGTGATGCTTATTCGTGAATTATTGTTTGTGACCTGTGAAACGGTGAAATGCCCGCGCTGCTTGTATGCGGTGTTGAACTTTCGTCGCGGAAGCGTCGTTGAAGGTGATTGTCTGGCCGAGGTATGCAATTTTGCCGGTGTGGGGCAATACGTGGATGTCAATGTATGCCACCTGGACTGCACGTGTCCAGGTGCGGAATTGATTGGTCATGACGTTTGTCTGGATGGGATGGATTTCGATACCACGGGTATTTGCTGATTTGGTCGACCAAATGATTGGCTGGGTTGGGCAAGGTCTTTAGGTTGGGCAAGGTTTGGCTGCCCAACATGCTGTCGTCTGCGAAACGGAGGTTGGTGAGAACGGAGGCGGTGGCTTCGTCAACTGAACACCTCGCCCGTGGAGCTGCCAATCCAACCGACGGGTAAACTCCGAGTTCCTGGTCGGGGTGGGGTACCCACATCCTAATCGGCAAGGGCTCCTGGGTTCGCGGTTCGCGCTGCGCGAGGCGCGAAAAACTTCGCGCTCTCGCGCCGCCCCCTAAGGATCGAGGGGACGTAATACTATACGGGGGACTCGGGTTGGCCTGACGGGGCCATCATAAAAACGACGAGACCCAATCTGAAAATTGACGCGAACTCCCGCTGCAAACATCCCACGAAAACTGAACCGTCAAACACCAGGACGCGCTCGTCAACGAAAACATCAGCAAACCCGAGCTCCTGCTTGCTCGAGTCTCACGTTTCCCCGAAGAGGAATCGGAGCTGCACCGCGAAGCGCGAATAACTTCGCGCCCTCGAGGGCGCACTTGCGATGAGCGGGCGATTGAGAATCGATATCCCCACCCCTGGGCCAATCCCTCTCGGGACGAGGCTCTGGCCCTCGAGGCCATCCTCCGGCAGCCTGCCGCCGTCTTGGAGCGAGGCGCAGGGGCTCGTTTCGGAGGGGTGCGGGAGCCCGAACCAGGCGCGACCCAGACAAATTCTCTTCCAAATCGAGGCAGCTCTGAGCAATGCAGTGTAATCAAAAACAATGCTGAACATTGCTTGGCTTTGATATGTCTTACTTGGCGTTGCTTGGCGCTACCTGGAATCGTTGTTTGGCATTGCGTTGCAGAGCTGTGCGTTGCCTGGCGTTGCTTGGCATTGCTTGGCGTTGGCTGGAATTGCTTCGCAGTGCTTGGCATTGGTGTTGTATGGCTTGGCGTTGCTTGCAGCCGTTGCTTGGCATTGCTTGGCGCTGGTTGGCAACATTTAGCATTGGCTTGCTCTGCTTGGCATTACCTGGCGTTGCTTTGCACGGCGTGGCACTGCTTGGAGTTGCACGGGCAATCCTGGGGAATCGCGGGCAAGCCCCAGTAGAAAAACGTAGGCCCACGGGCAACGCCAGGGGCCGCCTCTGACGAAGGCCCCGCACGCACTGGCTTCTCCCACAAACAGAGAAACAACGCTTACCCGTAGGCTTACGTCGGGAATGTCCCCCTGCAGGCGGATTGTAAGCGAACAAGAAACATAAAAGATGGTAGAACAATTGTTCCCAGACTATGTTTTTTGACTATTTCTGAATTTCCCCCCCTGTAGAGGGACACGCCCGACTGAACCGTAGGCAAAACCTAACTTGGAGACAAAAGCTGCATGCACGAGTGGCTTGGGTCTTCGCCACGGCCCCCTGCCGGCTCCAGCGCCGCCCCTGGCGCGCGCAAGGGAAGAGAAGGGAAGAAAAAAGAAAGGCGTACGCACGGACCTCCGAAAACTCATCTTTATGAACCGTTCTTCAGCAGAAGGGATCGGTTTGCCAGGGGTCGGTTAGGCGGCCCCGCACTGGCGATGGGGGGGCAGCAACATAATTAGGTCGGGCATGTCCCCTACAGGGAGATTTTGGACGAACAATAAAAAACAACAATACTCAAAAATTATCAAAATGCTCCTAAACATCGTCCCCAGACTATTGTTTGTAGAGGGACGGGCCCGACTTAACAATAGAAGGGGGCCAGCGCACCGTGGCCCGCAGCCATGTGTCTTTCCTGTTTACCTCCAGAGCTCCAAATGGTCACCGAGCGAATGCAACGCCTACCAGCGCACAACGTTACCGTCTCATCGGCCTGGCTGTAGTCTGAGGTCGGGCATGTCCCCCCACAGGTGGATGTTGGACGAAAACTACAAATAGTGAAACATACTCAGACTAGTAAAAAATCTCAAACGTCAAAAAATACTCAAGACTAGCAATTCATACTCAAGAAGTCGTCCCAACACTATTTCAGGACTTAACTCTAGAGCTCCAGATGGTCACCGAACGAATGCAACGCCTACTAGCGCACAACGTTACCGTCTCATCGGCCTGGCTGTAGCCACGTCCACACGGAATGCAACATGCACCGATCGGGAGCCGACAGAAACAGGAACGAAACACGCGCGACAGCCGCTCGAATTGAGAGGCCATTGAAATGACATCGTGTACAATGCGGTCGCCCAATTCCCGAGACGAGAGAGGCGTCATGTTCGCAGCCATGGTATTGCCTTCCCCCCTGAGCTTCGCCACTCTCGACCCAGACATTGGACATCTTGATTTCATGCCATCGCTCGGACGTCCATTCCCCGTGTGCGCTTCGGTTCCGTGCGTGCTGTTTTTTTTGTTCGTCTGACGATCGAAGATGCTCCTCGCTCGCCCTCGCCGAGATGAAATTCACACGTGCGAGCGATGCCGCAATGTGTGTTTGTAACGCAACGTGGCTTCCTCTGGCGGGTGCCTCCTCTGGCCGCCCCGCCGGCGGCTCCTGCGGCCCCCGCGCTCCTCCTCCTCCTCCTCCTCCTCCTCCTCCTCCTCTTCTTGGAGACCACGCTCTTCACTCTGGGATTCTCTTTGACTGCCCGAAGGGGCCGGCAACGGCGCCCCTGGAAGCTTGAGCCCAGAGACGGCGCCGGAACGGGTTGTGTCCCATCGCCGTTGCGCAGCATCATTTGCAGTGGATGTCCGGAAAATCCCTCCAGCCCTTTGGGCTAAGGTGGTCTAGCGAGTGAATGATTCCCTCCTCCAAAGCCCTGTTCCCTTCGGGGAGGAGTACCCTCCCCATCCCCTCCCTGTTTGTATTGGGAGGTGGGCGGGTCGCGATGTGTCAGAGGGTCCCATTTCGCCCAAGATGGCTGCAAGGCCCCCGATGCTCCAAAGTGGCATCGAAGGCGGCTCAAGACAGCCTAAGATGGTTCAAGATAGCTTTCGACTTACCTCCATGAATCCCGACGAGGGCCACAAGACGGTCGCAAGTGCTCAGGACCCCCCCAAAGAGGCCCAAATCCATCAAAGACCTAAAACATAATCGCTTCCGATGCGCATGAGACCTCAAGATACCCCAAGATGGCCCAAGAGGGGCCCAAGAGGTCCCCTAAACGGCGCCAAAAGCGCCTAAAATTGGCCCAAGAGCGCCCCAAGAGCGCCCAAGAGACGGTCTGGAGGGCCCCAGAGGAGGACTACTATCGGGGACCCACCTTCCTTCGATCGATAGCCGCCAAGATGGCCACAAGAGAAACTCCAGGGCCCCGAATAAGACCCCGAGGGGCCCAAAGACCCCCCAAAGGAGTCCCAAGAGGATCCCAAGATTCCGCAAAGAGTCCCAATAGGGCTACAAGAAGCGATTTGAAGGCTCTCTCCTCGTCCTCGCTCTTGCCCTCATCGTCTTTCTTTTCCATTTGCTCCTCTTCATCATCGTCGTGGTCGTCGTGGTCGTCGTCGTCCTCCTCCTCATCCTCCTCCTTCCCTCGCCCCCACGCGGGCCACAGGGATGGCCCGAAGAGGCCCTCCAAGGCCACCCCCTTGCTCCCGGAGATCTCCCTGTTCACCCTAGTTGCCCGCTTTGTTTCACGATGTGCCTCTTCGTTCCTTTTCCAGTCAGCTCTCATGGGCAGGGTTCCCGAAGGTGCTGGCGGGTATGCGCGAAGCGTGAAGCATCGTCACACACCTGCCGTCGCGACGAGGCGGACGGAGGAAAAGACGGCGGACAAAGGACGACGACGAAGTTCCGTGCGTACCACGTCTTCCGGAAGCCGAGAACTGGGTTACCAAACTTCGATCGCGCCCCGCTGTGCACGACGCGCGGTTCTCTTCGCGCCCTCGTTCCGCATCCTCGGGACTGGCCATCGCTCGGACGTCCATTCCCTGTGTTTCTTTCGGTTTCGTGCGTGGCTTTTTCGCCAAATGATCAAGGATGCTCCTCGATGGTCCTGGCCGAAGGAAAAATGCACACGTCCGAGCAATGCCAAGACAAGGAGGAAGCGGACGGAGGAGGAGGACGAGGACGAACTCCTGTGCATCATATCCTCTGGATGCCGAACACTGCCAAACCCACTCCTTCGTGAGCTTGCCGCGACGATAAACATGAACTGTCGGAGCTCCGCGCGGATTCCTTGGAGCGGCGTCGTATCCCCCCCCGCCCCCCCCGGCGCGCGGAGCGCGCCTGAGGGCGGAGCCAAGGTCGCCGCCGGGTGTCCAACGCGGGTCCAAGCAATCCGCGCGGACCTCTGAAAACCTGTCTGCGCAATATTATATACTATCCTTGGCGCCCCCGCGGGTGACTCATGAAGATCATAAGATGCCGGTGCCGCTCCTCCTGAGACCCCTCCCCGGGTGCGTTCTGGTCAGAACTTCGAAGCGAATGCAGCCGTGGCGACGAGGGCCTCCCTCGAGGCCCAGAAAGCCAAACATGAGAAAGCCATCCCCGCCCTCTGGGAAGATGCCGGCCGGCACCGGTGCCTCGTCCTCCTCTGAGAAAGTCTTCTGTCGAGAGCCCCTTGACGGGGAGGAGGACGGACGACGACGACAAAGACGACCGAGGACGAGGAGGACGGCCTTGCGCGCGTGCTGCGTCCTCTGCGGGTGGCAGCGAATCCCCGAACGGCTGGCGGGACATGGAGAAGCCACGCTTGAACAGCTTCCTGCGCCGGGCGGCCCCGCCCGCCTTGCCACGCCCGACCCGCGCTCGACGCTCCTCCTCACATCTTCCTCCACCTCCTTCCTCCTCACATCCTCCTCCCCATCGAGCCTCCTCCTTCTCTCGCCGCGTCCTCGTCGTCATCCCCCTTCCCCCCCCCCCCCCCCCGCCGCATCCCCCCGCCCCTTCCACTCTCCTCGTCTCGTCGCCCTTCGCCTCATGTTCTTGTGTCGCTCCATCATCCTCCCACTCCGCTACATCCGTCGCCTCCTCCTTTCCCTGCCCCTCCTCCACCCATTCATGGTGCTGCTCGTCATCCTCCCTCCAAGCTCTCCAAGTCCCGACACCCCATCCCTCCTAGCACATGCTCCTGGACCCCGTGCCTTCATCTCAACCTCCACCTCCTCCACGTTCTCACCTCCGTTTCACGCTTCTCTTGCTTCCCTCCCGCTGGTGCTGCTGCTGCTCCTCCTCCTGCTGCTGATTCTCCCCATCCAAGCCCTCCTGCCCACGTCGCTTCCCCTTCTCATCCCCCTCCCCCTCGCACCTGCTCCATCCGCCCTCGTTGTGGGGAGAAAATTGACAAGCGAGACGACCCGGGCACCGTGAGAGCGGACCTCCCGGCAGCGAAAATGCGGGATCCCCCTGAGACGATTTGAGCACCTCCCATGGTCTTCATTCTCTCTCCTCTAGCCTGCTCCTCCCTCCCCCTCCTCCTCCTCCTCCTCTCCTCCGCTCCCTCCCCGCCCCCTCCCCCTCCCCCTCGCCTCCCCCTCCCCCTCCCCCTCCCCCTCCTCCTCCTCCTCTCCTCCTCCTCCTCCCTCCTCCTCCTCCTCCTCCTCCTCCTCCTCCTCGTCCTCCTCCTCCTCCTCCTCCTCCTCCCCTCCCCACCCCTCCTCCTGCCAACAAACCCTCCCCCTGATGACGGGGGCGGGAAGGGTTCAGGGTGGGAGGAAAAGAGATGGGGCGTGCGACGACGACAACGTCAACCACGACGAGGACGAAAAAGCCTCCAGATGCAACGGCGTAAAAGGAAGCGCCCCAAACAACGGAGATCCTCGAGACTCGACGCGGAAGCCGCTCGGTTGCACCGAAGAGCGGGGGGCCAGGGAGAGAGGGCTAGCAGACCGCTGCCCGAGGCACACACGCGGGAGAGAAGGGGGCCAGGAGACGCGCTGAAAGAAAGGGGGCCACGATATCTGAGGTACAGTAGGAGCTCGACCACGGATCAGTTGTTCACGCTGAAAAAGGGAGAGCACCTAGCCGAGCCCAGCACCCTGAACCTCTGCTCCTCCTTCCTGCTCGCCAGAACCAGAGATGGGGCCGGCTCCAAGATGTTTCTGGGGCTCGCATTACCGAAACTCCTGGAACGATGTACCCCTGTTCTACATCAGGAGCTCGACCTTACGAAAAACCTTTCACGAGAAACCCAACCCTGAGACCCCAGGACGCCCCTCGATCCTTGGTGCGACAACTTCGCGCTCCCCGTAGCAAAACCACCGGAACCCAAGAAACGCAGGGCACCCTGGATTGGAGGCCTGGAAATTGGCACCAACATCGACACAGGGGGCTGCCTCCACAGGGGGAAGATGATCGTAGATTTCGGTGTTGGTGGTAATATTTCGGCCGCCTTGGAAGCCAGAATATCGCCACCATCACCGAGATCGGGAGCATCACCCCTCGGTGAAGGCACGCCGCCGATCTTGGTGCTGGTGGTAACCTCTGGGCCTCCGAGCTGGAGGCAAGCAAAACGATTCTTGGCATGGGCTTCCGCTGTGCCTCTGCCCGGGCCCCGCCGGGGGGGGGGGGGGCGGCGGCGACGTGGCCGCCTCCGGATGCAGGCCGTGGCCGTCGGGCGCGCCGCGGGGCCGACGGCCAGCAGCCGTCGCACCAGCGCGGCCAGCGCGGCGCCAACGGCGGGCACCTCGGCCGGGCCGGGCGGCCCTCGCGCCGTGCTAGAGAGCAAGTCGCCGTCGGAATCGTCGTCGTCGTCGGCGTCGGCGTCGTCGTCGTCGGCGTCCTGACTAGGGAGTAAGTGGGGGCCTGCTGAGGAGGTCAGGAGTGTGAATGGAGAGAGGGAGAGGCAGGCCAAAGCGATTGATTCTCTCGGAGTTGTGGCCCAAGGGGTCTCTCGGATCCCTCTTGTCCCTCATATCCCTCCCAGCCCTCATAATCCCCCTATCATGCGAATCCCTCCTACAATATCCATCATCTTTCTCATATCCCTATACGATCTCGTATCCCTCCTATCCACTATATCCCTCTTGTGAATCATATACATAATGTTTATCCTGCCTTTCCTGCTCCGATATCTCATGTCCCTCATATCAATTTATCTCACCGTATTTTTCCTCATACCCATCTTATACCTGAACCCCCCATCCTTCCAATACCTGCCAGGTATCTGTCCTATCCCGCATGTCTCCCTTACTCCTTAGCCCTTTTCATCTATCTCATGCATCAGATCCCTCTGTCCCTTCCCATATACGCCTCTGCTCCCTGACATGCCCCCTAATCAGTATATCCCTCCTATCCGTCATGTCCAGCACATCTCTCCGATCATTCTTACCTCGTAAAACCTTTGTTGAATTGGCCCAGGGCCTTCGTGGAACGGGCCCCTCTATGGAATGGCCTCCCTGGGGCACCGAGAGGCTCCCGAGGGCCCTCCAGATGGCCCCAGGATGGCTCCAAAAGGCCTCGACAGGGTTCAGGGTGGCCTCCAAGATGACATGAGATATGCCGAGATGGGTCCAGTGTAGTGAACACATCATCCACCAACCCCATGTTCCTTCTGCTCGCCCTTCTCCTTCTGCTCGCTCCGTTTACTCTCTCTCTCTCTCTATATATACATAGATGTCACATCCCTTTATCCGTCAAATGCTGCCAATTACCCTGGCCCCTCTCATCCAAACAACTGCGCTCATATCCCTCTCACCTATCCCTCTGATCCGCTCCTGTCCATCCCATCCCTCCATCCACTCACGCCCCTCGCACACACATCTATCTATATACACACACACATACACACCTATGTGACCACCCTTCGGGTGAAAAGGAGGTTGTGTGGGGGGGGGAGAGGGAGGGGAACCAACATCTGACTCAATCGATCTCACTACCGATCTCACTCAACGGGACACCACGGGAC